TGAGTCAGTTCTGACTCATAGTGACTCTGTATAGGGTTTCTGATGAGTGCCTGGTGGGTTTGAACCACCAATCTTGCAGATAGCAATCCAGTGGTTATCCTACCTTGCCACACTAGGACTCCTTCATTACAACCCTGGAAACCCTAATGGGGTATTCTGTTCTGCCCTATAGGGTTGCTGTGTTGATATCAATCGACTCAGTGGCAGTGGATTTAGTTTTGAGTTTGGCCCTGGTGGCGTAGTGGGTTATGTGTTGTGGGCTGCTATCTGCAAGATCAGCAGTTCAAATCCACCAGCCCTTGTGCAGGAGAAAGATGGGACTTTCTGCTCCTATTAAGATTTACAGCCTTGGAAACGCTATGTGAGGTTGCCGCTATGAATTGGAATTGATTTGACGGCACACCATCACCACCACCCCTGCCAAGAAGGGAACTCTGGTGCAGGGGTTAAGTGCTGAGCTGCTAACTGGAAGGACAGCGGTTTAAACCTACCAGCTGCCCCGCGGGAGAAAGATGTGGCAGTCTGCATCTATAAAGATATAGAAGCCTTGTGAACCCTTTTAGGCATGTTCTACTCTGTCCTGTGGGGTGTCTATGAGTCAAAATGGACTCGAGAGTACACAACCACCACAATAACATAGTATTTTATAGAGTCTTAGAATCCATGTCTGCCTTTAATGCACTTAAAGCCCTTGTTTTGTAGAAAATGTCCCCATAGTAATACGTTGCTAGTTGGCATCCATCCAGTTGGCTCTGATGCATGGTGACCCTATGTACAGTAAGGTAGAACTGCGTTCGTTCCTACACAATCCCTATCACAATTGATATGTCCAGGCCCACTGTTGTTGTTGGTTATTAACTGCCGTCAAGTTGGTTCCGACCCATAGCGACCCTGTGGGAGGTTTCCAAGGAGCGACTAGTAAGCTTGAACCACCAACCTTGCAGTTCAAACCACCAACCTTTGCAGTCCAGCGCATTAACCCACGGCGCCACACCAGGACTCCAGGCCCACTGTTGTAGCTCCTGTGTATTGTGAGCCTTGGAACCCAGGGCAATGACTGGGCTACTGTGCCTCTGTAGGGTTTCCATTGGCTGATCTCGGGAAGCAGATCGCCACGCCTTCTTCCTAGTCTGTCTCAGTCTGGAAGCTCTGTTGAAACGTGTGCACCGTGGGTGATCCTGCTGGTATTTGAAATATGAGTGGCACAGATTCCAGCATCACAACACACAAACCACCACAATACAACATATGAGCAGATGGGGGGTGGGTAGGAATTGACTGCCATCGAGTCATATTCTGACCCATTACAATCCTATAGGACAGAGTACAACTGTTCGTTAGGGTTTTTGAGACTATAAATCTTAAAGGAGTAGACAGCCTCATCTTTCTTTTGAGGAGTGGCTGGTGGGTTTGAACCACCAACCTTGTGTTTAACAGCCGAACATTTAACCCA